CCAGCACTTGGCCAGCCCCCGAGGCCGCTCGTGCTGGGTCCGCCAGGAGCTTCAGTTCAGCCTTCAGCGTCGTCCGCCGGAAAATGGACAAGAAGGCCAGAAATTTTTTTTGGTTAATTTCCTTTGTTGTTATTGTTTGGCAGTTTGGACCTTTGTAAAAAAAGGCCCAAACCTAAATGAATGGGCCCACCCAGTTGGCCAGTTCGCAATCACACACACCCAATTGCAAAATTGAAATCGACAGAGGAGTTGAGGAGGGAGACGACTGCGAGCGTGTCTGCCCAACTGCGCCGCTGCTGGGACCTGCTGTCTGCTGCCTCCAACGGCCGATTGACGAGACGGTGGTGGTTTGGTGGACGCCTGTGTCGATGGTGACTCGGTGAACGGTAAGCACTGCTTTCCATTTCCGTTCGATTTTTTTCTTTCTTTATCTGTTTTTTTATTTCTTTTTTTGTGAATTTGTGATTTATTATTGTCTGAGAGACTGAGACTACGAGTTGATGAGTTATAATTTTGATTTGTGAATTGTGAAATGTGATTTGAAAAATTAGGTTTTCAGGAAATTAGGGATAAACGAAAAAAATTAATGAAGAAGATATTGAGCTCAATTAAACCATGTGTAAACAGTTTTTAAATCAATTTTAATTGAATTATATCATCGGTCACCAGTCAATAGTCAACGGTCTCCGCCCTAACTGAAAGGCAATGCTGGATTCGCCCCTGATCTCAAACAAGGGTTTAATCTTCTTAATATAATATAATTAAATTAAATAAATCTAATTCAACACCAATACCCACCCAACCCTCCAGCCCCAACCCCACACAATTCATCATTTTTCTTGTCTCCATTTTTAAAAAAACTCAATTTCAACTTCACATTCTCCCATAAAATAATTTTACACGTAAAATGAAATTTTGTCTTATTTTTTAACGACACATTATCCAAAAAAAAAGGGAAAATTACATAAAAACAGGTAGTTAAACTTTCAAATTCAAAAATCAGGTGTCAAGTTTATTTAATCAAAAATCAGGTATTAATTGGATATTTCATTAATTAATTAATACATATAAAAATTAATTAATCGACCCTGATCCATTNGCGGTTTGGGTGTTGTTATTGGTGTTTGTGTTGGTGGTAGTTTTGATGGGGTGTTGGTATTGTGGTGGGGGTGGTAGTGTTGGTGTTAGTATTGTGGGGGTGGTGTTGGAGTTGGTGGTGGTGGCGGCGACGGCGGCTACGGGAATGGTGGCGGTGGAGTGGGACAAAAGATTTTGTGATCAATTATGTGGATTTTGTGATCTATAAATTGGTTAATTTGTAAGCAATAAATAATATGTGACTTAAAAAGAATGTGTGTTTATGACTAAATTTGAAATTGTGATTCAGAATTTGGTAAGTTGTAATCAATTAATTCGATGATTTGTGACTGTGAAATAATTTGTGATCAACTAATTTGATAATTTATGACCGTAAAATAACTTGTGCCTTATAAAATTTATCATTTGTGTTGATAAATAAATTGCGATCTATACAAATTTTGATTTGTGATCGAGAAATAATTTGTAATTAATTAATTCAATAATTTGTGACCAAATTATAAAATAGTGTGACCATAATATATTTAATAATTAATAAAAATTAAATAAAAATTTAATTAATAAACTTTAATTATTACCTGATTTTGCTAATTATTTCATTTTGTTAATGAGCCCCTGTTTTGTAAGGATTAAAATTAGATTTTTAGTAGATTTTGATAAAAGTTGATGAAATTTGTGGTTGTAAAGTTATGAATCTCATGAAATGTATGATTGAAATTAATTATTAACTTTGTCTTAGAATAAAATCAAGATTTTGATCAATACCATCCCGGGGACTACCTTGACAAGACTTCGAATACATCAAATCATCGAGCATATCTCTTGGAAATATGGTTATTTATAGGCTATAATTAACAAGGCGAGGCTATGTTAAAGAAAATATTGAAGAATTTCATTATAAAACTGAGGTAATCTTTTAAACCAAATTTTGTATACAACTGCATTGTAGGTTGTAAGTGTTATGCCCTAGGTCCAATCAACTTTGGACATAAACACTTTGAATATATATAATCAATGTATATGTATGGCAATATCTATTATTTAATTGAATTAATATTCTAATAAATTAAATAATAGAA